ACCCCACCTTCCCTCCACCCTCCCAGTATCCCCACTCTCAGCACTGGTCCTGAAGAGATCATCTGTCCTGGATTCCCTGTGTTTCCAGTTCCTATCTGTACCAGTGTACATCCTCTGGTCTAGCTGGATTTGTGAGGCAGAATTGGGATCATGATTGTTGGGGGGAGGAAGCATTTAAGAACTATAGGAAAAGTTGTATGTTTCATTGTTGCTAAACTGCACCCTGACTGGCTTGTCTCCTCCCTATGACCCTTCTGTAAAGGTTTGTCCAGTTGCCTACAGATGGGCTTTGGGTCTCCAATCTGCACTCCCCCCTTATTCACAATGATATGATTTTTTGTTCTTTGATGCCTGATACCTCATCCCTTTGACACCTCTTGATCACACAGGCTTGTGTGCTTCTTTCATGTGGGCTTTGTTGCTTCTGAGCTAGATGGCCACTTGTTTTACCTTCAAGCCTTTAAGACCCCAGATGCTATCTCTTTGGATAGACAGGCACCATCAGTTTTCTTCACCATCTTTGCTTATGCACCCATTTGTCTTCAGCGATCGTGTCAGGAAGGTGAGCATCATGGAATGCCAGTTTAATAGAACAAAGACTTCTTGCATTGAGGGGGTACTTGGGTGTGACCAAATGTCCATCTGCTACCTTAATACTAAACCTGTAACTATATGCCCATAGATCTATTTCCCCATCATCATATATAAATATTTTTACATATGTAGAGGTCTAAATACAGGCATGTACATATCAAAACATTTTCTTTCTACTTGAGCCCTTTGGTATCAGCTCCTCGTTTTTTACCCCTCCTTCAGAAGGGCAGTTTTTTTTTTCAAGTTGCTACTTTGTTTGTTTCTTATATTTCTTGAAGTAATATGAGTTACACAGAAAAGAAAAAGTACCTTTCCTGGTGGTAGAGCTTGCCAAAGCTGTTGGGAAAATACAAAATGACTCAAACATAGTACAGCTTCTGTACTACAGAGATTATATTTTAGAGAGAGGTTTTGTTTAAGCAGTGGAGATAAAGCAAATAATGTTTCATTCTTTGGGTTAGAAAAATAGAAAAGAATAAAAATAAGGGGACATAAACATGCTAAAGCCCATTGCCCTTGAGTCACTCTAACTCATAGTGAGAGGCCTAGAGTTTTCAAGGCTGTAATCTTTAAGGAAGCTGACTGCTTCTTTTTTCTCCAAGAGTGGGACTGGTGAATTTAAACTGCTGACCTTTTGGCTAGCAGCCAGGCAGTTTAACTGCTGTACCACCAGGGCACCTATAAACATGATATGACTTATAGTTTTTTAACAACCTTATTGAGAAATAATTTAATTGCCTTACAGTATACTCAATTTATTCACTTTAGTATGTTTACAAAGTTGTACAATTGTTAGCACCTTAGTTATAGAACACTTCATCTCCCCCAAAAGAAACCCTATGCCCATTATCAGTCATTTCCCATTTCCCCATGCTCACCCAGGCCTAGACAACCACTACTCTATTCTAAGCTATTTTCTATCTCTCTGGGTTTGCCTGTTTTGATCATTGCAAATAAATGGAGTTATACAATGCGTGGCTTCTTAAGACCTATTTAATATGTTTTTATTGGATTACTAGTCTTTTTAATTGCTGGACTGTATGTTCTTTACTACATATTCTGAAGACAGGCCCTGAATTAGATTTATGACTTACAAACCTTTTCTTCTATTCTATAGCTTACTTTTCACTCCCTTGAATATATCATTGGAAGAACAAACAATTTTAATTTTTATGAAATCTAGTTTATGTATTTTTCCTTTTATTGATTGTGCTTTTAGTGTTCTATTTACATAACTTTGCCTAACCCCAAATCACCCAGAGTTGCACTTATGGTTTATTCTAATAGTTTTATCTCTGACATTTCTATATGTCATCCATTTTGAATAATTTTTTACGGATGATATTAGGAAGGAAGGACTCCTGCTTCATTCCTGCATGGAAATATGTATGCAGACACTTTTGTCCCCATTCAACTGTCTCATTAGCATTTTAAAAATTGACCATAAAAATGACAGTTTATTTCTGGACTCTCAATTCTAGTCAATTGATCTGTAAGTGTATGCTTAGGTTTGTATCACAATGTCTTTATTACTGTAGCTTTGAAGTCAGTTTAGAAATCAAGAAGGGTATGTTTTCCTACTTTGTGCTTCTTTTTAAAGATTGTTTTGGGTATTTTGGCTGTCTTCCATTTTCATGTGGATTTTAGAACCTAGATGTCAGTCATTGTTTGCAAGATAGCCATGTGAGATTCTTATAGGAATTGTGTGTTGAATCTTAAAAATCAATTTGGGGGAGTATTACCATGCTAACAGTAGTCATCTTTTACATTTATGAACATGTCATTTCTTTACTTTAGGTCTTTAATTTATTTCAACAACATTTTTTTGTGAGTTATAAATTGTGAAGTCATTTTGTTCAATGCATTACTAAATATTTTATTGGTTTTGATGTTATTATACATGTAATTGTTTTTATAATTTCATTTTTGGATTACATATTACAGGTGTATAGAAATACAATTGATTTTTATACTGCTGTGTGTATCTTGCATCCTAGCAGAATTTGTATATTCTCATTGTTTTTTAGTGGATTTCATATGATTTTTCTGCATAAAAGGTAATATCACCTGTAAATAGAGACATTTTACTTCTTCTTTTCCTGTGTAGATAACTGATAGAAACTCCAGTACAGTGTCCAGTAGGAGTGGGAGAGTAGACATCCTTGCCTTATTCTTGTTCTTTTGGGGGGAAGATATCCCATATTTGACCATTATGTAGATGTTAGCTGTGGGATTTTGTGAGAGCCTTTTATCAGGTTGAGGATGGACCCTTCTATACTTAATTTGTTGATTATTTTTACCTGGAAAAGTATTGGATTTTTGTCTAAAGTTTATTCTGAAGTGAATTACTTTTTTAAATGACTTATTTTTCTTTCTTTTTTTTTCTAATCTGCAGAAATTGACTTGCATACCAAATGTGTGGTGGATGTAGATGCAAACAAGGTTATTCTTCATCCTGTAAATACTAATCTTTCCAAAGGAGATGCCCGGTAAGTTAAGAAATTATGTTTTGATCAATGCCTTTGTAAATGACTAGAAGCAACAACAACTTCTTTAATGAGTTCAGTTTAACAAATGTTAGTCAGTGCTTAATATTTACTTTGGAGAGTTCCAAAGAAATGTAGGCATATTGTTGTTATCAGTCAGTACTCAGATTGAAGAGGTCAAGCTGAATAAGGTCTATCACACGTAATGGTTAAGTACCAGAATGAGTAGTATACATGGTAATAGTACAAGAAGCTGAGAGAAGGAAGTAGGCAGTAGATTATGAAGCAATTGAGGAAGGCCTCCTGTAGGTAAGATGTGTAAGTAGGGAGTCAGGGTTAGGGAGGAAGGCATTTAGGTTGTTCTTTAGCTTAGCTTTTCCATTTGCTAATTGAGATCCTACTTGGCAGTTAGCGCCCATTGAAGTACAGTACTACCTTTCCCAGGAAGGGATTTCTGCAGCCCTCAGTGGTTTCTCTTCAATAAATACCAATATAACTATAACTTAAGCTAGTGTAATTACTATCCGTGAGTGGTACAAATGGTTAATGTGCTCCACTGCTAACCATAAGGTTAGAAGTTCTCGTCTACCCAGATTTGTCCTGGAAGACTGGCTTAGTGCTCTACTTCAGAAAAATCAGCCATTTGAAAACCACGTGGAGCACAGTTGTGTTCTGACACATATGGGGTTACCATGAGCCAGAAACAACTTGTTGGTGACTGGTTATTTAGTGTGCACATGTGTGTAAATTTATTTATTGTGATTGACTAATATTACACCTGTCATTTTTAAGTGTATAACTCAGTGGTATTAATTCCTTTTAACACAGTATGCAACCGTCATCACTTACCTCCATAATCTTTTCATTATTTCAAACAGAAGCCAATCGAGGAGTAATAACTTGTTTTCATTTCCTCTCATTCCCTGGTAACTTCTCACTTCTCGGCCTCTAAAATTTTGCTTACTTAGATATTTCATATAAATAGAATCATACAACTACCTTCCCCCACCCCCATTTTTGGTGGGGTGTGTGTGTGTCTGGCTTATTTTTCTGGTAAAGTGCTTAGCTGCTGACCAAAAGGTTGGCATTTTTACCGGGGAAGAAAGATTTGGTCACATGCTTCCATAAAGATTACAGCCTGGAAATCATCTGAGGCCGTTCTACTGTCCATTAGGGTCACTGTGAATCAGAATTGACTTGAGTAATGGGTTTGATTTTTTTTTTAAATTTAACTTAGGATAATGTTTTTATAGTACCTAGTATATATACTATGCATCAGAACTTCTTTTATGGCTGAATAATATTCTGTTTATGGACAGACCAAATTTTGTTCATTCATGTATTATGAACACTTTAGTTTTTTCTCTTTTTTGGCTGTTGTGAATAAATATGCTATTATCATGGTTGTACAACTATCAGCTTGAGTCCCTGCTTTCAGTTGTTTGGGGTATACACCTAGGATTGGAATTGCTGGGTCATAGGGTTCTATATTTAATTTTTTGAGGTATCGCCAAGCTGTTTTCTACATTGGCCGCACTACTTAAAATTCTCAGGAGCAATGCAATAGGGCAGGTTGCTCTTTCTCTAAATCTTTCTCTTTACTTGATATTTTCCTTTTTAAAATAATAGCCATTCTAATGAATATGAGGCAGAATTTCTTTGTGAATTTGATTCGCACTTGACTAACAGTGTTGAGCATCTTTTCACATGCTTATTGGGGATTGCTTATTGTCCCAGTGGCATAGTGGTTACGAGTTGCATTGCTAACTACAAGGTCAGCAGTTCAAAACTACCATGCTCCAAGGGAGAAAGACAGGGCTTTGTACTCTCATAAAGAGTTATAATCTTTTGGGGTAGGGTATGGGTAGGGGTGGGGGTTGAGTTACAATCTCAGAAACTTACAGGGGCAGTTCTACCGTGTCCTATAGGTTTGCTATGTGTCGGCTAGACTCAATGACAGAAAGGTACTGGTGATTGTTAGTGCTTTGTAAAGTGTTCTATAAATGTTTACACTTTTATTGCTGCATAGTTATTTTATTTTATTGATGCATAGATATGGTGACTATTGATTATGCTATTATCAGGGGGGAACTGGATGTTGTTGTTTGGTTTGTCAAGTCTATTTCAATTTATTATGACCAGCTGTCAATTCATTATGACAGAAAACTTCTTCTACAGGCTATGGTTTCTATGGAAGCAGACCAATGTCTTTCTCTGGAGCCGCTACATGGGTTGAAATCGCCAACCTTTGGTTAGCAACTGAGCACTTAATTATTGTGCCACCAGAATTTAAAGGTTATAAAGGTGTCAAAAAATACGGTTGGGATTTTGATTTTATTTCCCCATCTCTATTCTCTCATTTGGAGGTGCTTTTGTTTTTGAATCACTTTTGCCTCATACTGACCCTGCATGAACCCAGTGAAACTGTGCTCCCTGTAGGATTTCCTAGACTGTGATCTTCATGGGGTTTATCAGGCCTTTCTCCTGTGGAGCTGTTAGTGGGCTCAAGCTGATGACCTATTGGTTAATAGCCAAGTGCTTAGCAATTGCTTCACCAGGTATCTTTGGTGTTCTGATTTTGAACCTGGGTGAACTTGTCCTGAGTATTAATTGAAGCTATTATTCAATAAGTATTATTGAAGGTTTATTGTTTTTTGAACTTTGACTCTGCAGAGTATCATTGCACTATGTGCAAAGGTGGGTAACTGAGCAAAGCTAGTGGCTTTACCATACGATCTATGGTAGAAAGAGTGCCGCCATGAGTTGGAATTTACTTTATGACAATTTACAATAACAACAACAAAAATGGCTATTTTCTTAATTTTTTATTATTAATCATTTTATTGGGAGCTCTTACAGATATTATAACAATCTGTAATTTAGGTAAATCAGCATAATTTTATAGTTGCCACCACTATCAGTTTCAAAACATTTCCTTTC